GTGTGGGGCTGGGATCCGGAGCGTCCGTTAGCCTCTTTGGTTTTTTGGTAGCCTTGTCTCAGCTCCTTGATTTTCACGCGGCACTGCGTTGCATCCCGGCTGTAGCCTCTCTCTGCCATGGCTTTGGAGATCTTCTCGTAGATCTTAGCATTCCTTCTTTTGGAGCGCAGCTCTGAAAGCACGGACTCATCGCCCCACACTGCGATGAGATCCAAGACTTCCCGATCAGTCCATGCTGGGGCCCTCTTTCTATTAGATTGCACGGCCATCTCTGCTGGAGAGCTCTGCATAGTTGCCACTGCTGCTGAGCTCCCCTCGATGTCCAAAGAGGAACTGAGATTCAAACTGCCCAGACAGGAAAATGAAAATGAATTCAAATTTTCCCGGGGGTGTGGCTGGTCAGAGCATCCGAGCTCGGACTGCTGTCCAGAGCGTCAACAGAGTGGTGCACTGTGGGATAGCTCCCGGAGCTATTACCGTCGATTTCCATCCACACCTAGCCTAATTCGATATGGCCATGGCGAATTTAGCGCTAATCCTCTCATTGGGGAGGATTACAGAAATCGATTTAAAGAGAGCTTTATGTCGAACTAAATGGCTTCCTGGTGTGGACGGGTGCAGGGTTAATTCGATATAACGGCGCTAAAGTCGACATAAAAGCCTAGTGTAGACCAGGCCTTAGACTCTGTTTTCCATGTGGCTTGTTCCTGAACTGAAACAAAACTCGAGTTTAAAAAAAAAATAACCCCAATATTGATTCTTTATTTTTTGTTGTCAAAATCTGTATATCTGTTCTGTGCTGGTATTTTAAAGTCCCAATTTAAAATGTAATATGTATCCAAAAATCCATTGCCAACGTTGCAGAAATATAGATAACATATAAAAACCCCACCATCAACACAACAATTTGACAGTAGAAATGAAAACTATTAATGGGAACCTTACAGAGTTTGGCATTCAATTAGTAAGAAAAACATGTAAAAGTTTGGATGTGCATCCAAGTCTACAGAGGGCCCCAACAAGACCCACAGCATTGTATCCCCACACAATCCCCTTGCCACAACAGGTCTTGTGATAAACTTTCCTTTCCAACATCTCCATACCAAACTAGCTGCTGTTGTCATCTTGGCATGAGGTTCTGTGGCCTTTTGGTTTCTTTAGTGGCCTCATTTTCAGATTTTGTGTATGTATTTGTGCACCCTGTCTGGTGGAAGCACAGCCTCTTTATCCCCCCACTCTCCCCAGCTCTCTCCTTCTTCCCCTGTTGCCCTCATTCACAGACCCACAAGGGATTCTTCTTGCCCCTATCCTTGCTGACCGCATACCTGCAGATGTCTTGTTTTAGTGTGGGTAATGGTCTGTATAGCTTTCACCCTCCTGATGTCTTCAGGGCAAGAGGGCTAGGTGGTAACTCCTTATTAGCTTCTTCAAGGATTAGGGAGCATTCAGTGAGCCCCCTGAAATGGCTAATAAGGACTCCCTGAAATTAAACAAGGAGGAGTAGTTGGTAAAAGCCACCAAGCCCTTCCCCAAGTAAGTGACATCACTGAGCGTTGGACAGGTTGTGAGAGTGGATGTGCCAGGGAGTGGGCTTGGACAAAAGGATGGAGGTGTGTGATGAGCAAACTAGAGCCAGGACTACTTCAGACAGAAAATAGACCCACAGTACTAAGATCAGTTTGGATCTGGGTTGTCTTCAGCTGAATAACCCTTTCCAAAGTTTAGGAGTTGGGGGGTGAATAAAATGGTTCTTATTTTGGCCCATCCTTTATTTAGAGGTCTTAGTCCAGTTGCCAACTGATAAATGTCCACATCACAAAACCACCACCACAAAACACTAATTGGCAACCTTGTCACCACCCTCATTAGAGTTGACAGGCACTGATTGGGGATGGACACCGAACAACTGGCTCACAACCTACAGATGGTCCCTCCAGGTCACCATAGAAGTATGAGAAAACTTGCATGGTTGCTGCCACCACAGCTTGACATGTCTGGGGGAATGCAGAACGATTTAATCTGCTGGGCTGCCAATCTGCCACATTTCATTACCGCTAAATTCACACCCTTTTTTTTAAAAAGAAAAGGAAAGAAAAAATGTCTCTTGTTCACTTTCTAATGTTAGTAACACACGGCCACATTGTGCCTTCAAGTGTCACTGAAAGTGGTCTGACTGTGCATGATTTAAAAATATACTTTGTGTCATAAATCTTTGTCTTGTCATTGTTTTTTTAGGACAACTGAGCAACCCTCTGATTCTGCTAGTGCTCCAAATAACCGATCTGACACAAACTACTCTTATGACAACAGAGGATCCAGGTAGTTAATGAGTTACAAAGATTAAATAAATAATGCCTCAAGCATTTTCCTTACACAAAATCCAGGCAAACAGCCTTTATGCGTGAAAGTTCCATGGAGACTGGAATCCTCCCACCAGCCTGTGGAGTGGCAAGAGAAACAAAGGATATATTTACTGGCTGTGCCCTTACACTCTCTGCCCCACCCAGATACCTCCTTCCATGCTGCTATGGATAGAACCTCCAGGTTACACTGCTCCAAGGCACATGGTGGGCAGAGACACCTTGTGTCATCTCTCACCTTTCTCAGCAGAACTGTACTGAGTTTTCTGCCTTACAGGCCATGCATAGGCTGAAGCAAATAGATTTTTTTAAAAGATGCTTCCCTTTCAGTGCTGGAGTCTCTTCCTTTAGCTAGGATCTGTAACTACAGACACTTAGTATTGTAAATCTCAGTGAAAACTGACCAAATTTATGCCCTGGAAGCTTGGAGAAAGTACCAGCTTGCCACTTATTGAAGGGTAGCAGGAAAGCAGGTGAAAATAAGAAATAACATGTTTTTCTGCACAAAGTCATAACAGGATTATCAAATGATTAAAAATCTTTTGACAACAAATAAACAATGTATCATTCTGCCTGAATGAAAGAACACTCTGGATGAGGAAATGAAAGCCCCAGTGATGTGATATTTCTGTTTAAACATGAAAATGAGTATAGTCACTCTTCAGGAGCAAACAGCACAACCATATTACTAACACAGGGCTAGACTGTGCCTTTAAGCACGGTCCTGTGTAAGTGGCAGTCCATAACTTCACATCCCTAGGAGGAATAAAGGGAAGGAACTGTGACTTTGAACCATAATTCCTTCACTCCTCTTAGAATCATAGAATCCTAGAATATCAGGGTTGGAAGGGACCTCAGGAGGTCATCTAGTCCAACCCCCTGCTCAAAGCAGGACCAATTCCCAACTAAATCATCCCAGCCAGGGCTTTCTCACGCCTGACCTTAAAAACCTCTAAGGAAGGAGATTCCACCACCTCCCTAGGTAACCCATTCCAGTGCTTCACCACCCTCCTAGTGAAAAAGTTTTTCCTAATATCCAACCTAAACCTCCCCCACTGCAACTTGAGACCATTACTCCTTGTTCTGTCATCAGGTACCACTGAGAACAGTCTAGATCCATCCTCTTTGGAACCCCCTTTCAGGTAGTTGAAAGCAGCTATCAAATCCCCCCTCATTCTTCTCTTCTGCAGACTAAACAATCCCAGTTCCCTCAGCCTCTCCTCATAAGTCATGTGCTCCAGCCCCCTAATCATTTTTGTTGCCCTCCGCTGGACTCTTTCCAATTTTTCCACATCCTTCTTGTAGTGTGGGGCCCAAAACTGGACACAGTACTCCAGATGAGGCCTCACCAATGTCGAATAGAGGGGAATGATCACTTCCCTCGATCTGCTGGCAATGCCCCTACTTATACAGCCCAAAATGCCGTTAGCCTTCTTGGCAACAAGGGCACACTGTTGACTCATATCCAGCTTCTCGTCCACTGTAACCCCTAGGTCCTTTTCTGCAGAACTGCTTCCTAGCCATTCGGTCCCTAGTCTGTAACAGTGCATGGGATTCTTCCGTCCTAAGTGCAGGACTCTGCACTTGTCCTTGTTGAACCTCATCAGGTTTCTTTTGGCCCAATCCTCTAATTTGTCTTCACTTGCTCCTTGTCAGGGAGGACAGTGGAAGAATTCTGCTACTGACCTTTATCCGTAGCAGTGCAAGATGCCACTCAGTAGTGAGGAATGGGAGGTGCATTGTGTCAGCTGGAGCCAAGGCTCCACCCATCCCTGTCCTCTCCACCCGGAAGGAAGAACCAGGTGTACAGTCCCTGCTCTTCTTCCTACATCTGCAACTGGATGCTGAGGGTTCTTGCTTACTCTTACACTTGTGCATTGCCACATAGGCCTGGGCGACAATTTGGCCAAGAGTGAAAGGAAACATAATTTCAGGACTCAGAATAAATATTCAACACAAACATTCATCAACATTTTGCAGCTGGCATACAATTTCTCAGTTGTCATGGCTTTTGTAACATTGTGACTAGCTTTGAGTAGTGTAATGGAAATAAAACAATAATAGCAGGCAAAGAGTGAGCTACAGCATGTAGTGTTGTTCCCTTTAAACTTGATAGAATGTGTACCCTTTACTGGCACTGTGAATAGAAAGCCAGATTTAATTAATTAAAAGTATTTAAATGAAGTGAAATGTCCTCATATGTTGTTCTATCTATTTTTACATAGTTAATTCTTCAGACGAGTACTAAGTATTTTGCTATAGGTACTGCAAGACCAGGTAGCAACGTGGCAAATTAAGGAGAGAATGGCAGGATTGAAATTAAAAACAATTCTTCCGAATATGGAATTTTGAGGGGGAAGAGGGATTGGATTTCATTCCAATGTTCATTATTTTTGTGCATTTCCATTATATGTAGTGAACAGTTTCCTGCTATCATATGAAAAAACATGCACTCAGTTGCTGACTGAGGCCCCAGGCTCCCTGGAACTTTGTGAGGGCAAGATTGGAGCCTAAAATAACCAGTGAAATTCAGGCTTAGGAATTATCCTTGTTATTATTTACAGTCTCTCATGATTGCTTTGTATATATATAGTTAATCTTTTTTAAAGATGTAGTTATACATGTGTTTGTGTATTTCAGCAATAAAACTTCGACCAGTTACTCAAGTCCAAAGGACAACGTTGTGTACACCAGGACATATGAGGAGAATAGGTACTGGAAAAAATTTTTCTCAATAATTTTTATTTATGTAATAATTCTGAAAATACCAGTTTAAGCATAAACAATGTTATTTTCAGGGATAGTGCACCCAATATGAATATTATGTTGAGTACTGGATGCTGTGACGGTCCACACCCCTAGGGTCAGAGCAGCGTGGCTGTGACAGTCCACGCCCCTAGGGTCAGGGCAGCGTGGCCTACCTGCCAGAGTCCATAAAGCAGCCCCTAGGGTCAGGGCAGCGTGGCCTAGCGGCCAGAGTCTATAAAGCTGGGGTGCCCACCAAGGGGTGTGGTGGCCCCGGTGGAGGGGCCCAGGCCCACCCAACTCCACCGGGTCCCAACCCAGGGCCCTACCAGTGGCGTAGCAACTTGCCACTGAATCAGTGCGAGGGTCCTACCGAAACACACTGAGGTTTCCCGGGTGGGAGGTACCACTCCATCACCCTCCCTGGGTCACTTCCTACCAAAATCTGCGTTGGGGTGTCCCATGAGATGTCGGGTTTGCTGTGGTCGGAGGGGCCAGTCGCCCCTCCAGTCGCCGGGGTGCAGGTGGGTCCAGGGAGGCTCTGATTCCCAGCGTAGTCAGGAGCTGTGGCTGGCCCTCCGCAGGAGCTTCCCAGACAGGTTCTTCCCCTGCGGCCTCCAGCCCAGAATGAGCTGGGTTTCCTCCCTTTATACTGCTAGAGCAGGGGTCGGCAACCTCTGGCACGCGGCTCGCCAGGGTAAGCACCCTGGCGGGCCGGGCCAGTTTGTTTACCTGCCGCGTCGGCAGGTTCGGCCGATCGCGGCTCCCACTGGCCGCGGTTCGCCGTCCCAGGCCAATGGGGGCGTCGGGAAGTGGTGCGGGCGAGGGATGTGCTGGTTGCGGCTTCCCGCCACCCCCATTGGCCTGGGACGGCGAACTGCGGCCAGTGGGAGCCGCGATCGGCCGAACCTGCCGACGCGGCAGGTAAACAAACTGGCCCGGCCCGCCAGGGTGCTTACCCTGGCGAGCCGCGTGCCAGAGGTTGCTGACCCCTGTGCTAGAGCATTTGGAGCATGCCCAGCCTTGCTGGGGAGGCAGGACTTCCGCTGTCAATAATATGGGCCTAACCCTGTCTGGGCTAGTGCAGGGTAAGCAGACCCCATCACAGATGCATAGTACATATAATGACATCTCCATCCCTGATTTAGTTTTAAGGTTTGAACTATCATAACATCCCAATATCAGATAGGGAAGATTAATGTAAGGTAGTTGGAGAGCAGATTGGAGAGAAACAACTGGAACAGCAGAGAGAAGTTCAGAGAGGCCAGGTACAACTGAAAAAAATACAGATATAAAAATGCAGAGATCAACAGGAGACTCTGACTTATATGTATGTTTACACATGCATAGCAACCTCTCAGACCTGGCCACTTGTGATTAAAGTAAAGACCATGGCAAGCTAAATTCAGACCTGGTTTGTGGTAGCTTGGTGTAAAGCAGGGATCGGCAACGCTCCAGGCCAATGGGGGCAGTGGGAAGCGATGGCCAGCATATCCCTCGGCCCGCGCCACTTCCTGCTGCCCCCATTGGCCTGGAGTGGCGAACCGCGGCCAGTGGGAGCCGCGATTGGCCGAACCTGCAGACACTGCAGGTAAACAAACCGGCCCAGCCGCCAGAGTGCTTACCCTGGCGTGTCATGTGCCAAAGGTTGCCGATCCCTGGTGTAAAGCAAGGCACAGGTTTCTCAGTAGAGGGAAGCTCGCTGGAGAGAGGTTGCAATGATGCAAGGCAACCACAGCCTCTCCTCAAAAGCCAACACAACCTGAAAAGTAGGTAGCACTAGGTGAGCAAAGTGTTATGATCAGTGCAGACTGTGGGATGCAGTTCACTGTATCCCTTTGGGGCAGTCTCTGCCACCTGGGCTCCTGTGGAGTTTTCTAGTGCAAATTAGAGATGTCTTGCCATGGTGGAACTCCCATGAGAGTCTGGAAGTCGGTGGCACAGCTAGGCATGGAACCAGGATTTCTTGAGTCCCAATCAGTGCCTTAATCACAAAACCACCCTTACACTCTCTGAAAGAAGGCATCTAATACAAGTAGTAACCACTACTATAAAGTTATTTTTAACTGTATTAAAAAACAGTGATACAAACTGTAATTATTACCTTATGGTAGTACCAATGTAGTCCTAAGGAAATAGGGTTATTAAGTAAGTTCAGAAAAGTTCAAAACCTGTGAATTTGCTTGGCAGGTTGACTTTCTTACCTGCCTCCCAACTGATGGTTATTGCTGTGCTCAGTGAAATTATTCTTGACAGTAAAGTAGCCAGAACAAGCTCTATTAAAAAAAACTGAACATTTAGCTCCCAAAATAGTTAAATTTACTACAGTATTTCCTGTTCTCAGTATAAGGAGCTTTACAATTACTGTGGTAACTAGACATACCATTCTGTAATGAAAAACTTTATATTTTAATGGTGCTCACTGTACTTCTAGGGATACATCACAATTTTAGCAAAAAGTGATTGGCTAGTACTAAAAGGGCAGCTCTTCTAGTATTGGTGGAAAAACGTGGCATTTCTCTGGCTCCTGATGCTTTTTCTAACAGATATGCTTTAGTTCAAACAGGAATTAATTCAGGGGAGTCCTTTGGCCTGGGTAATACAGGAGGTCAGACTAAATGATCATGGTGGTCTCTTCTGACCTTATAACTGATCAAACTATAACATTTAGATCACAAGCAGTCAAAATATCATATTTCAGATTTTGCTTGATGGGTTTGTGATTTCAGTTTGAAATGCTAAGGAATTATAAAACAGCACAGCATAAAACTTGGTATTTTGTTTTAATTTACATTAAACTGAGATTTATTTTCTCAACTGAGTGTTAAAAAAAAACAAAACTCATCTCTCGATTTATTTTTACCATGTGACCACTGGTTCGGGTATGGGTTAGCATTTATGAACTGCACATTTTCCTTATTGCAGTAAAGCCTTGAAAAGTCAAAAGTATTGCTTGCTAACTGTGAATCATTCACTGCATTACAGCAAATCACCCAATGACGCATATAAAGAAAATGTCACTGGAAAGTCTATCAAAACTGTTTACTCTACTTCTGATCGGTAAGTGTGCTATCGAGGAACACTGACATTTTACAATAGCACCCATATCTACAGACAAACAAGCACAGTGGAAGCCACCACTATTGTGATCAGACTGTCTACTCAGACAGGCCTGCCTTTCAATGGAACCTTGCCATTTCCATGGCCTTGCGCTCTGCATTATAAGTTACATTACATTAGGGCTTGTCTATACAAACAGTAAATTGGCGACAAACTGGAGTGCAAATCTACCTCACACTAGCCTGCTGCACACTAACTGTTTGTGTGGACTTTCCTGGGAGCGGGGCGCAAAACTTCCTTGCACCGGCCCTTTGTGGGTGTGAGCAAAATTAGTTCAATTTATGCAGCCAGCACAGCAGCAGCAGCAGCAGCAGCAGATGAGGATGTCTAGAGAAAATATTGGGAGCAATATGACAAGAAAAGGTAGAGAGAACTGAGATGATCCAAACAGTACACATGTTAATTTCACAGCAGTGAGAGCAGGAAACTGCTTCCAGCTGCTTCTGCACCAAAACTCAGTGCAAGATTGGGCACTTGAATGAGAGTCTAAATCCAACTATCAAATTGCTGGGATTGCTTCTCTGAGACATTAAAATCTCCTAATTCCATCCTTGCTCCCTCCACTTAAGGTATGTCTGTACAGCAACTTCTTGAGCCAGTGTGCTAAAAATAGCAGTGTGGGCATAGTGGCATGGATGGTGGCTCAGGCCAGCTGCCCGAGTACAATCTCATCTGTGTGACCCCCAGGTACATATTCAAGTAGCTAGCCTGACCCACCACCCATGCTGTTGCAGCCACACTGCTATTTTAGTGTGCTAGTTGGAGCAGAGATATTGTCTACCTGTGCTGAGCAACACCCTCCCAGCTGCTGGGTACACTAGGGTACCTTAGTGTGCACACTCCCAGGGAGCCAGCAACAGAATACGTTCTGACTCCTATTTAGAATCATTCGGCTCACCAAATAAGGCCAGTATTCTTGCTACCTGGTAAATGTATTAATCAGGTTGCCCATCCCTGCAGTGCATACATCACTACCATTAATTAGAACATGGAATATCGATGCATCATTATTACATTCCTGACTGATGTGCTGTATACTAATGGCCTTCCACAGTAATATACTAAATTAATCAGTTCTCCCGCTTGATTTCAATGGTAGCTGCTTTTCTGACAGCTGATGTTATATTATGTACCCACAGGACTATAATTGAAAAAGATATGTGTACATACTGCCGGAAGCCACTGGGCATAGATTCCAAAATGATCTTAGATGCCTTACAGATTTGCTGTCACTCAACTTGCTTCAAGGTAAGAAGGGGTTTCACTTCCTGCCATGAAATAGAAATAAACATATATCCTGAACAACATGAATTATATTACATATATCATAAAACAATGTGTAGGCCTTAGCACCTCTGCCTCCAGGAGCAGAACAGAGCCTGCATTGGGAGAGGGAAGTTTTTGCCTAGGTACCATGCACCTCTTTCCCCCCCTTCTGGCCACATGGGTGGTGAGGGAACCAGCAGGATTGCTTCAGATTCTCCTACCCACTAATCCTGCAAGGAAGCCTTCAGTTGTATTAACTTGCAGTCTTATCCCCTACATATCACAGAACTTTACCTATGCTCTGGAAATCTTATGAAGGAGCTGTATTTTCCAGGGACTAGTAGGAGTTAGTGAGGCTGGGCAGCACAGCATAGGTGAAGTTACCCCTTTTGACGTGAACAGTTAGCCAAAATGGGGAATCTTGTGGGTTGTCTCTATTAGGAGAGAAATTGATGATGGAGTCAGGTATTTCTTTCACGCAATCATGTTTATTTACAAATGTATGTAAAGTCCCATTTCCCTGAACACAGTAAGAATCAAACAGGGGATAATCTAATTGCTCACAGTTCCAAACTCTTTTCTAGTCAACGCTTTTAGTTTTTTCTCAGTGGCAAACTATCAGTGCTTCTGTGTCTGGTGCTTCCTTGTTGCCTTTTTTGTCTCCTTTTGTGGTATTTCTGCATGCACCTTCACTCTCACTCTCGCACTCAGAGCTCAGTTTCTGAACCAGTCTTGCATGGCCGGTGTTTTGGGAAGTGGCTCCTATGTTTCAGCTATCTATTTCATAAAGGTCAAGATTGTTAAACAGCACACTTATCTGAACCACACTAGTGGAAAAGGGAATTAAGAATATTGGGGAGGAAAATCTACAGTTTGCGAAGCAGAAGGTACTGAACCTTGGGCACCACATGAAAATAATAATTTGACTGTGCTGACTAGGATTGCTATTCCTTGGAGAGATTGTGTTCAGTGACACTAAAATACTACTGGCCACAACTCTGTCCTTGGATGCTTACGTGATGGAGCTTAAATAAATATTAGACAGTTTTTTGGATTTGTTTTTTACATAAGACTGTGCATATAATTATGTGTTAAAGTGTGAAGTGTGCAAAAGACCTCTGGAAGATCTGAAAGCAGGAGACAGCATTTGGATTTACAGAAATACTGTGCATTGTGAACCCTGCTATTTCAAAATTAAAGGTAAGTTGCAGGAAGATTACACTGTAGCAGATTGGATTAAATGCTCTGTTTTCTCTCTCAAATTTCCAAAGTATCTTTCAAAAAATGCAATACAATTTTTGTTTCAGTGACTGTTTCTGGTGACATCTGTCACACTGTCTAGAGTGGCTCACAGCTGTGAGTGCCAACCTCAGGGCAGACTGTCAAGAAGCAGGGCAGAGACCCCAAACTAGTTGTATGTTCTATCCCAGTAACAAGTGTGAATTCCTAACACATTATAACAATCTTACCATGGAGTCACAGACAGTCCTGTTGGGCATTCCAGTCTATCTTGCCACCCAGGCAAGCTGGACTTAGTGATAGTTAGTTGCTGTACACAAAAGATCACAAAATATTCAGGTCGCTCTCAGTCCCAAGAGACCAGTCACTTACCCCTGGTCATTTTGTACCTTAGATCTCACACCAAAGACAATGCTTTTAGCCAGTTGAATAGTAAACTATCTAAGGATTTATTAATTATTAAATGAAATGAGAGATTTTTTACAAGGCTAAAGCAGGCAACCATATATACACAAATGAATTACAGACTAGGGCAAAGGTTCTCAAACTTCACTGCACCGCAACCCCCTTCTGACAACAAAAGTTACTACATGACCCCAAGAAGGGGACCGAAGCCTGAGGCCAATGAAGTCCTGCCACTCCAGGCAGCAGGGAAAATGTGAAAGCCTGAGGCCCACCACCCTTGGTAAGGGGTCAAAGCTGAAGCCCAAAGCCTGCATCACTGGGCGGGAGGCCTGCAAACTGAGCCCCACTGCCCAGGGCTGAAGCCAAAGCCTTAGCCCCAAGTGCTTGGGTTTGGGCCCAGGGCCTCAGCCAGTCTAACACAAGCCCTGGTGACCCCACTAAAAAAGGGTTGCGACCCACTTTGGGGTCCTGACACAATGTTTGAGAACCACTGCCCTAGCCCCAAGTCATCTACCCATAGGAACCCTACCCCTACTCCCAAATCCCCTACCAATAGGAACCCTAACCCTAGCACGGGGATGCCTACCTGAAGGAACCCTAACCCTAGCCCCAACTCCCCTACCCATAGGAACCCCAACCCTAATGAGGGGATGCCTACCCATAGGAGCCCTAGCCCTATCCCCAAGTCCTCTACCTATAGGAACCCTAACCCTAGCACAGGGATGCCTTTCCATAGGAACCCTAACCCTAGGGCGGGGATGTCTACAAATAGGAACCCTAACCCTAGTGTAGGGATGCCTACCCATAGGAAACCTAAATCTTGGGCTGGGATGGCTACCCATGGGAATCGTAAGCCTAGCCCGAAATCCCCTACCCATATGAACCCTAATGCTAGGGTGGGGATGCCTACCCATAGGAACTCTAGCTTTAAGGCAGGGATCCTACCCATAGGAACCTTATCCCTAGTCCCAATTCCCCTACCCATAGAAACTGCAACCTTAACAAGGGATGCATACCCATAGGAACCCTAACCCTAGCCCCAAGTCCTCTACCCTTAGGAACCCTAACCCTAGGGCAGGGATGCCTACAAATAGGAACCCTAACCCTAGTGTAGGGATGCCTATTCATAAGAACCCTAAAACTTGGGCCGGGACTGCTACCCATAGGAATCGTAAGCCTAGCCCGAAGTCCCCTACACATAGGAACCCTAACGCTAGGGAGGGGATGCCTACCCATAAGAACCCTACTGCTGGGGTGGGGATGCCTACCCATAGGAAGCCCAACCCTAGCACGGGGATGCCTACCCATAGTATCTGACCACTAAGTATCTGGCCCCCAATATCTCTTTACAACAATTCAATTGCCTTCATTTTTGTGTATTTAGAAAGCGTTGATTGTATATTTGCTCTGATGCTTCTTATCAGTCTTTTCTTTGTCTTGCAGAAAAATGGATCTACTAGTTTGGGCTTCCAGAAACTAGGATAAAGATACACTAGTATTTAGTTAAATACATTTTCCTAATACTTAAACAACCTATGTAAAATGTTTAATTTTTTTGTTAGGATTGACATGTTCTAAATATAATATTACTAAATAGTCACTATAGGAACATAGTCTATGAGACTTAAAATGACTTTATAAATACTTCCAGAAAGCAACAAAATGTATGGTTCAGTATGTCCATCAGATGTGTGAAAGTTATTTCTACATGTGATTTGGCAAAAGTAGAGCAACCTTGAAATGTATCATATGGAAGGACATATCTCTGCCTGTGAGTTTTGAAGGACCTGTTTTCTGTTTATCCAAAATATGCCTGAAAATAAATAAAGAATTGTTATCTTTATATGCTATGTTTTTAACACTGATACATTTGTAATCAATGTGTTTTTGAAAACCAGTAGTCTTATGGTTATCCAGTACAGTTATAAAATGTATACTCTACATGACATTACTTTCTTATATACAGTATACACTTTTGCAGGGTGGTTATCCAAACACCTTGTGATTGCTAATTATAAAGAACATAAAAAGCACTTTTTTGGCATAGAAAATATATTAAAGAAATGAAAAGAACTGTTCATTATTTGTTACAATACATCTGTTCACAAAGAGTCAGCAATATTCTGCATTATTCACTGAGAGTCATAAAGTAGTTCAGTGATTTCTTGAGCTACAATGATAGGTTTTGGCTCTTGCATTCTGTTTTGGGATCTTTGATCTTTTACATCATTAACATTATTTGACATAATTAACATTAATTTTTTCTCCTTTGTATCTCAGCAAAAAATCATTGATGAAGTGTGACTATGAAAGAAACCTTTTTTTTTTTCCAAAGGGGTGAAAAAAATAAAAATACATATGGAAATCAACTGATTCCCAGGCAAAAACCTACTGGTGAAAAGAGTATTTAGTTGAAAGAGCTACCTGGGTATTTCTTAGTCCTTCTCTGCTGTTACTTAGAAGACAACTGGGTAACGCAGATCAAAACAATTTATATGAAGAAATGTTAAACTTAATGGGCTAGATCTTGCAATGTGGTCAAGCAGCATGGAGTGCAAGTCATGTATAATGTGTGCAGGGGTGTGGCTTAAAGTCCACCTTTGCAGTCCTATGATCTTGCTACTATTCTGTGCAGTTCAGTCCCCCTGCAGTGTGAGGGCTGCTGCAATTTAAGCAGAGTTTCAATGATCACAAGGGGCTAAAAACAGATGAAGATTAGCATAGTGCAGGGTATCCTATCCATACTTCCTCCCTCTTTCCTGTCAAATCTGTAGCAGTGGGGTAATAGGCATGAAAGTCCCTCAGCTCTACCCTCTTCCAGGGCCTAGTTAAGATGGCTTCACAGCCAGATTGTGTGGGGCAAGGCAGCCCTTACATAAAAGTGACTTGGCTTAATGGTTTTTATGAAACCTTGTGAATTAATGAAAGCAACTTTAATAAACATGTTATTGTAAATATGATTCTTGGTTTGAGCCAACTGCTGATGAATACTTTCCAGTTAAAGAGTGCTGGGACTTCTCTGCTTCATAAGGGAACAATGTCCACAATGACGTGGAGAGAGTTGGTCCAAAATATTTAACACTAGAGGATACATATTCAGTCCTGGCGGAAGCCTTCACCCGGACCAACTGAAATTGGCTGTGTGTGGTTACAGAAGAAGCTATGAATTAGAGACACAGCACTGGGATCTAGAGCCCAGGGTTGTCCACATCTGATATTTTGTTTCAGTCCATTGCCAAGGTTAGAGGCCGGCAGTAAATCTAAACAAATGTGGGGTATTTAGATCTGGGGATTTGGTTCAGGCCCCTCCATAATAAAAATGTTCAGTGGCAGGGAAGCAGCAATATAAAAATAGTAATAAATAATTCTGTGCTCATTAATTCATACTTGATAAGCAGCCATGGTAATTGGCCATATGTTTTATTGTTGTTTTTATTATATGTTATATATGTGCTGAAAATAATAACAGTTTTTTGGCGCTTGAAATTTAGCACATAAAAGGACTGGACAGCAGTATCTATTTAAAAATATCATATTAACATCTCAATGCTTATGGAGCAAAACTAAATCTCTTTTGCATCCTTTTTGCATATCATTAGTGTATAATGTTTAATTTTTCTTTGACTAGTGCTTCATGGAAACATCCAAAGGAACAGTTTTGCAGGCAGCTGTTTTAATGAATCTTTTATCTTCAATAATGCCTTAAATTAGACTGAAAAGCTGCATTGAGGGATGCTATAGTAAATTATATGGGTTTTTGTGGTTCATCAAGCCCATTTTCTCGACATGTAATGGGTATTTCTTTATTTTACAAAGCAGGGGCACAGCTCCAAAGGAGGGGAGGAATCAAGCAATAAGAAAAAAATGACACAAGCATGGAGAGAGAAATAATGTAAATAGAATGGGAAAATAGATATTCATATATTTCGAAGATGTAGTTTACTTGAGGATTACTCACTTATTCAGTAACACAGGTGTGACAATCAGGGTCCAGACACTCCAAATGGAGAAAAGGGGGTCTGAAACCCCAAAGAACAAGCAACTGAATCAACAGCTTGCATATAATGTTATTGTGTATAAATATGTCAAGTAAAGTCTCTGATGAAAGCTTGTAATGTTCTGAACTTGAGAGTCATGAGGAGATACGTATGCAGGTTATGGTTATGAATGCATGCATGTATATGTGTGTAGAAAATGGTAATTGTAATTGTGGGACCTTCCAGGCCAGTTGTTTACACAAAATTAACTCCCAGCACCTAGCACAGGGGTGGCCAACCTGAGCCTGAGAAGGAGCAGGAATTTACCAATGTACATTGCCAAAGAGCCACAGTAATACGTCAGCAGCCCCCCCCATCAGCTTCCCCCCTCCACCCGCGCCTCCTACACACTGGCAGCCCCGCCGATCAGCGCCTCCCCCTCCCTCCCCACACCTCCCGGGATCAGCTGTTTCGTGGCGTGCAGGAGGCTCGGGGGGAGGGGGGAGAAGCGAGGGCATGGCAGGCTCCGGGGAGGAGGCGGTAAGGGGTGGAGTCGGGGCAGGGCCTGTGGCAGAGCCAGGGATTGAGCAGTGAGCACCCCCCAGCACATTGGAAAGTTGGCGCCTGTAGCTCCAGCCCCGGAGTCAGTGCCTATACAAGGAGCCGCATATTAACTTCTGAAGAGCCTCATGTGACTCCGGAGCCACAGGTTGGCCACCCCTGACCTAGCATTTTACAACCCAGGGAAAAACAATGATGGACCATTAAAGTTAGTGGAAAGACATTGACACTGAAAAGGAAACACCAGTCTTAGGCCTTGTCTACACTACACAATTAAGTCGACCTCTGTTAGGTTGACGTACAGCCACCGCACTAATTACTTTGGTTTTTCATGTCCACACTACAGTCCCCCTGCCAGTGGTATGCGTCCTCGCCACGAGCGCTTGCACCGACTTAAGGGGGGCAGTGGGGGGCGCTGACAGCCCAGGCTATGGACTCTGTGCGGAGCCCCACTGCCTGATGCTGACAGCTTGGGTTGTCGGTTCTGCGCAGAGCCATGCTGCCCAGTTCTGACAGCCCGCATGGAACTGACAGGTGATGTAAATAACGCAGTGTCTACACAGACACTGCATTGCCCTAACTACATCGACCTAAGCACTACTCTCGTGGCGGTAGGGTTATTAGGTCAGTGTAGTGGGGGACTTACACTGGCGGCGTTGTGCTGTAGTGTAGACACTTAGGCTAGGTCTACACTACAGCGGACTTCCGACCTAAGATACGCAACTTCAGCTACGTGAATACCGTAGCTGAAGTTGCGTATTTTAGGTCGGCTTACCTGGCGGTGAAGACGCGGGAAAGTCGACCGCTGCCGCGCTGCCGCCGACTCCGCTACCGCCTCTTGTCGAGGTGGAGTTCCGGAGTCGACGGTAGAGCCATCAGGGATCGATTTTACCGCGTCCTCACGAGACGCGGTAAGTCGATCCCCGATAAACCGATTGCTACCCGCCGGATCGGCGGGTAGTGAAGACGTAGCCTTACAGGGTTAGGTCGACATAAGGCTGAATTTGTAGTATAGATCTGGCCTTAGAAAACTAAGGAGGAGGTGTCCCCTGCTCTGCATTACTATAGTCTGAAAGAAAGAGGAAAAAAACCTGCAAACCCTGTTACAGAGGAAGGGAGGATTTTGAAGTGAAGTCTATCCAAAAACTGAGGGGCAACATCTAAGTGGGGTGCTGTCTGTGAAACACTGGATCCCCTCTCAGACAGAGGGCATGCTGGGAAACTGTTCAGAGGCAATGGGTAATTTGTATTAGAAAAGGGAATTTAGCTAATATAGAAGTACAATGCCTGATGTTGCGTCTTTATGTTTATTTTCTGAGTAACTTGTATGTTTTTGCTTTTCCTTACTATTTCCATCTTTGAATCTATGATTTTTCTATTAAATAAACTTTTTGTTCATTTTTACCCCAAGCAGGTCTCTGGTGTGCAGACTGTGTGTGCGCCAAAGTGAACTGATATTGGGGGCAGGTTTCATGCTATTGGGGGTGATGAACCAGATGTGAAAAGCCCAAGTGTCTGGTAGTTAAGAACTCTGGGAGACAGATTTGGGGAGACCTGGGACCAGAAGGTGTTGTTGAGTAACTTGGTCGAAGGAAGCCAGGGTGAAACCTTATGCTTGTAGGCTGGCTACAGGTGTCAGACCTCTGAGCCATAACAAGATATCATGGCCACTTTACTACACCTAAATAGTGGATTCTACTCTGTGTAGTTCCCCTGTGCACAGCCCATTTACTTGGACTGTATACAGATGTCTGGATCTGGTTCTGTGATAAATAAAGTGGGGGGATAGCTCCATTTGATGGACACCCAGCCAGTTAGCTGTAAAATCCCTCTTGGTAGCTGTTCTTTACTTGCTTTACCTGTAAAGGGTTTAAAAAGTCCCCCAGGTAAAGAAAAAAAAAGTGGGCACCTGACTGAAAGAGCCAATGGGAAAGCTAGAACTTTTTAAAA